GTAATGGAGCGGGACCGGCGTGATGAAGCCGTGGTGCATCAAACGCGCCAACGGAGCCTCCGAATTGAAAGGATGCTTCCCCGTGAGACGGATCATGGAAGCATTTCGCTGGATCCAGGCATCCACCGTCCCCAAATCTCTAGCGTCCAAAATCGACGGCTCCAATTCGCTCATGCCTTTTCGAATCAAATCACTGAAATCAGACTCGTTATCCTCGTCGCTGGAGAAATCGTCGTCGTCCGCCATTGTTACCGGCTTCTTCGGATTAACGAATTCTGAAATGGAGCTCGGAAAGTTACAGTTACGAACGCCGCCATTGAAGGAGGGTTCCAAATGAGGAAACTGACGGTTACGCACTGAAGTGGCCATGGAAGAGAATGAGAGGTTTATGGAATTTGATTGGGGTGTCCAGCTCCAACCTTATGGATGGGATCAGTAGGGTTTCTGAGCGAAATAAATGGAGAGGATGAAGCCTTATATAGGAACCATGCCTGAAGAAGAAGACAAAAAAAGAAAAAGAAAAGGCAAAAACAAAATTGCCCATACCCATCAGGTTCATTAGATTATTCAATATTTCTTTTATCCTGAATTTTGTTGTGAGAGAGAGAAGTCGGTTTGGGTCCGAGAAAATGCGGGTCTTCATGGATGGATATATGTAGTAATGAAATTAAAATTAGTAATTAAATTAAATTGTAATGTTGATTGTTATTTAAGCGTTGAGTCGGAGGGGTAATGAAAGATTTTAAAGTGGAAGTCAAGGGAGGAAGTCTCGCAAAGTCGGAGTAGTAAGTAATTGTAGAAATGGAATGAGTGAAGCCGAAGGGAATTGGCGCATGGAGACTTTCAACAGCCAAAAAAGGAATTATAAAAAGAGAGAATGGAATTCAAAGGAAGTAGGCACCAAAATTGAATCAGAAAGAAAGAAGGCACATGATGTGAGAGATTAAAGGGAAAGGGAAAGGGAAATCATGAGTTGGGCTGCTGCAGGTAAACCAAACATAGGAAGGGGCATATCTGGGGGCGGGTTATTGCAATTTGGAATTTGCAGAAGCTAAGGGAGGTGCGAGCCGCAGGGGTTACGAAAACAAATATTTGGCCTTTCGGTGAAGCTGAAGGCCATTCTTCAATTCTTACAATTCTCTAGGCCTCTGCCATATGGACCAGACCAGCCGCAGATTCAGCGCCTTTCAAGAACCTTCCTGCGCTTAAGGAAACAAAACAAACTGCCAATCTTCCCACTGTATCTCTGTTCTTCTTTTTCCCTTTTATTGTATTAAAATATTACACCGCTTCCCGGACTCGAACATCTTACTTATTTATCACCTCTGCGTAGCGTAGAGATATGTACTTGCCTTCTCAATCTATATCACAATTTAGGAACATTCATTCAAGTATATTTATTACTCTGATTTATTCATATTATTTTTAATTCAGGGCCTAATTTTTTTGGTGAACTCAAACCCACTTCCCCACACATATTGTACCAAAAAAAAAAATAATAATAAAGATTTATTACTCAAACAAACTAGAATGCGGTAGAGTTGCCTCTTCAAAAGACCATTTTAATCTTATATTCTTCCTTTTGAATTATAATCTTTCTTAAAATTCTCTATTAATAAGATGATTTCATTTAAAAGAAAAAAAAAACTGGGAAATCTAGATAATTTTTAAGAAACTGTACTTTTCAAAATTACTTTTAGAATAAAAATATTTGTATATATAAAATATAATCCGAGTAAGTTGGCTGCAAAAGTAGATAAATTGTGGACGGAATTTGATCGTTTCATGTGGTTGGCCCAAGGCTTCATAAAAATGAGTTAGTCTACCAATTATCGTAACCTAGAATTTAATAATTTCTAGGTCCAATATGGTGGTCATTTATACGTTACTGTATATTAAAGAGAATTAAATAATCCCCACTAATGAAAAAGCCATATGATTAAAGCACATTTGATTTCAAGATCTTAACAAAAATTTAAAAATCAAAATAAAAATTCTCTCAAACATGCTCTCAGTGGCCATGGAGGCTGCAGAGTCAAAAACATATAAATTTTTTTAACAATTTTAGATATTTAGTGCATAAACAAGCACCGCCCAATTTGATATCAATAGTCCATAATAGGAAATGTTAACTGCTTCATCCTTTTCCTGTCTTCCAAAAACATTTATATATGTTGGGATTGAAGAGTTATAATGTTTAATTGTAATATTTCATAATAAACTGCAATAAGATAAAGCATAATCACAAGCCAAAAAAGAAGAAGAAGAAGAAGAAACTAAGCATGAATTCTACTGGTAATATCGTAAATTATCCATATGAAGAAACTAGGACAAAGTAACGGTTAAAATTAAAAATTTTACCTTTTTTACCTCTGTAAAAGCATGAAAAGCAAATCAGGCCTTTTAATGGGATCACTCTTAAAAAGTAACAAAAGGGCCAAAATACCAGGAAATATGCAAATTGCAGTGCCATCTTCAGCTGCAACCGCAAACAAAAGTACATCACCTATCCAACCCTTTCCCAACTGTCTTTCAGAGGAACCAAAAAATCAGTTGTAGGCAAACCAGAGATTTCGTAACCTATGACATATTGCACCATGGCCAAACCAATACTCACTCTCTGCTTCCTGCCCAACACTGTCAAATTTTTCTTTTACTCGTTAAAAGAAAAATGGGAGAAAACCCTACACAATTTACCACAAAAACAATTTGATATCAGGCATTTGGGATCACCTGTCAGATAAGTCTAACTGACAAAGGTCCCACAAGAAAGCTTATCATATTCAGACAGCATTGGAAGGTCCTGGTGATGTACATCTGATCTGCTTCAAAGATGGATTCAGTACCATGTACTGCAACAAAACAATCGTGCAAGGTGTAAGTGCCCGAAAATGTTGTATGCATATGACTGAGTTCTTAAATTATCTTAACCCAATTTGTCTAAAGCCAAACTTTACTGAACAGAGATATTGTTGACCAAATCATAAATATACTAATGGGCAAACATCAAAATAGTAGACCCTTGTCCCCCCGAAATGATATGGGAAAAAGGAAAAAATGAAGCGACAATGTCAGGTTTGATTTCTATTGCCTAATGCATAATTTGTATCTCAAACTTACAAAATCATGATTTATTTCCCCTTTCTTAATCGTAATGTCCAATGTCTAATCTAGCTTATGAGCACCTTAACTTGTCTCTTGAAACAACTAAACAAAGCATATATTTAACATTGAGAACCCAATAATATTTAATTTCTTAGGTTAGTGATCACAAGAATAGAACCCATGACTTCAGGGTCTTCTGAGTTTATAACATGTCCTGTTGACAACTAGTCAGGCCTATGGTGATTTAGACCTCCCAATCAAAAAATAATGGCTTCAAAAATGGTCTAATTTAAGTTCCAGCTGGGACCAGCATATTATTCACCAGCAAGTTCTAAACACAATTAAGCACTTGTATAGAAATTAAAAAAAAAAATTCCATAAAAGAAAATACCAGACTCATTCCTGGACACTGACGCCAAATTGCATTCAATAAGAAAACTGACCTTGAAATTAATCAGTGATAACCAAGTAATGCAGAAAGTAAGTAATTTAATGACCAGACAGGAAGCAAGCAGCATTTACCCGCTGATAAAAAGCATTAATCTCCTCTTCCGTAAGCGCTTCATCCTCTCCTGAATTTTCTTCCCATCCAAGAGAACGAAGAAATGCAGCCTCTTCCTCATCTGAACATAATGTTATGTTAGGGCTCAAACTCTTATTCACAGACTCAGAAAACCTCTGAACCTCTTCAGTGATCTTGCCATTGATAGTCACCTCATCATCTGTAACAGTAGAAGGGTGCACCACAGCACCAGCTACTTCCCCGTTTACTACCCCAGATTTCTCCTTGAGGGGAGATGAGCCAATGCCTGAATCTTGGAGACAAGTGGAACCATTCACCAAAGTTTTCTTCTTTATGAGATTAAAGAAATCATTCCTGCTTTGCAATTGAGTAGAAGGTGGTCTCTTTTCCAAAGTGGATCCTGATTTCAAATCTAAGGCAGCCACCTTCCGCTCCAGAGACGATGGAGGATTCAGGATGTTTTGATTCCTCGAAGAGGTAGTGGTAGCTGAAGAGGCAAGAGAAAACTGACAATTTGCAGTTCTACTGTTGACGTTACTAATAGGACTTGAGGCATCTTTTAACATGCCATTTTCCCACACTGGTTTAAGAACCAGAAATTTCCCATGAGAGGTCTTTGGAGAATCAGACTTGACTTGTCCACCTCGAAGAGTTTGACTATTATGCTGCACTAGTTGTTGTGGACCGCCCTTGGCAGGCACATTCAGTTCAGCAGTTCTGGATGCTCCTTTGGACTTGGATTTCTCAAACGAATTAAGAACCTGAGAAGAAAATCAGCCAACAAATCTGAGATAATTCAAAGGTTTGCAATCGACAAATTCAGTTATTCGTTACAATTATCTTCTACACATGTATAAGGTTGCAGAAGATTCTCAAATCAGAATTTCAGACGGAGTGTGTCAAAGATACAGAACTATGCAATCGCCAATCAGTATGGCTCAAGACAGGACTAACACAATGAAACTGAGTACAATAAGGCCTGCTTGCAACGTTTCTATCTAATGAAGGAGAACAATATCAAATACTAAAAAGACACTGGGAACTGTTCGTTTTTATGATAAGGTAGGATCCTCTGGACTGTATGGGTCCAGCTGCAATATCAAATACTAAAAAGACAATGGGTTGAAGTGGAATAGGATGTTTGGGGACGAGGGAGCCATAAGTGAGAATTGAGATCGTGGCTGCAAGGCATTGATCTGTTTTATGGGAGGTTTCCGTTCAAATAAATAGAAGAATTTTCCAAGACTCCTACAAAGAACCTTGAGAAAATGTTTCTTTTGTATCCTTATGGAGCTCCAGTTCTAAACAGTTTATAATACTTAGTCAGTCTCATTTATAAATATCTCTTTCATACTGATAATTCAGGAGCTTACACGTGAGTAAGACTTTTTTTAGTCTCAATCTTGTTCAATTGGCTAAGATTTTTAGCTGAACATGGAGGCAACGTCTTCATATTCTCATCATTTTAAACTTGCCTTGCATTAAATTTTTTCAAAGAAAATTCAGCTAAGACATACTCACACCGTCACAATTACATCTTCCATATTCAGCAATAAAATAAGATCATACATGCTTAAGTTTAATGATGAGAATGAACTCGTTGCATTTCCATTTTATAACTGAAGTTTTTTATTCACATATTAACTAGAATATTCCACTTGCTACCAACATGTTCTCGTGATCATGTACTCAATGACGTAAACCTAATGGGTAAACAGGTAATAACAATTTGCCTCCTATGCCAACATAATATCCAAATCATATCATCCATTACCCATATTTTGTATCAAAAAACATAGTAGGCCCAAGATTACCATGACAAGAAATATAAGTATAACCCGCAAAAAATTCCTAAAGAGAGTTACTGTCCATGGATAAAAAATTTCCACATCTCAAGCAATTCTTTATTACTAGGATTGGGCAGATGATAAGGGAGCAATTCGAGACACAAACAGGATAAACAGAAGAATATGGAAAAATATATATTTCCTAGCATGAACCATTAACAAATAGATTTCCAGAATTCTGAACTACAAAAAATAGTATAACCGGAAAAGCTTACAGAAACTTTAGGCATTGAAGGTGTCACTGGGATTAATTGCCTGGACTGCTTAATAGCCAATTCCTCAAGCCTCTGTGTCTTGACAGATAACTACAAACAAAGAATGACCATTAGGAAAACTGCAGCAAATGTTTTCTACAAATGTTAGGGGGAAGTAACTACCTCGGTTGACTGAGGCACAACACGAGCTCTTGATGGTGCCTGTGTTAATGCTTCAGCCATCTTACGCGGGGTTGTTGCATTTGGGGACCCCAACCCAGAATTGGCAGCAACAGTTTGTTGAACGGATGATGGAGCAGCTGTACAGCCTGTGATTATAGTTGGCACCTCAGCCAGAGCTGATGTCCATCCTTCCCGACCCATCAAAGCTGAACTTCCAATAGGCAAGCTCTGAGATGTGGTCAAGCCGGGAGATGATACTCTTCCTACATCTGGTCCTCCTTGCCTATCTTCTGATCCAAGTGATGGAAAATCCTTATCAAAAACAGCCTTATCAGTGATACCGTTAATGGTACTTCCTGAATGATAACCATTACCATTCGTCTTACGATTATAGCCTCCACTTTTCAAGTCGACAGCAACTCTTTGGGGAAATAAATCACCTTGCTTCCTAGACACCATTGAATGAGAACGCCGCAAAGTTTCCTTCTCAACTCTACTGGAAAAGATATTCACCAGAGGGCCAGAAAAGTCATGACGCCAAGGGTCCCCAAGATTTGACATTTCTTTCTCCTTCTCACGGTCCCTATCACGATGATTCCTATTAAAACTACTATAAGCATTCTTTCCAGAGCCATTACTAGAATTCCTCCTTGAGCTTGATGAAGATGACCAATCCAATAAATCAAGGTGTGATTTATCTATATCGCTAATGCTCTTTGAAGTTCTACTTCTTGAGTAATGAGCTTGAGACGAAACATCTATTGAACAATAAGTGATAACATATTACTGAAAATAGTGAAATATAGATAAGAAGTTCTTAACGGCAAAGAAAGAGAGACAATTCAACAATATATTCTTTAAAATAAAAATAAGATAGCATAGAAATTGAAAAATATTGGCGTCAGAAATATTGTAAACTACAAAATACCTGAGTGAGAAGAAGACGATGCAAATTGTTGGGCTGAAATCCCACTCCCGGAAAGACTTCCAGAACTTCTCAGCCACTCTGGAACTAACGTAGGTTCACTTTTTTCCATAATGAGTAATAAACATGATCAAAAATAACAGCGTAACTCGTGTTGCATCCTTTACCACATTCTTTGAATAATTATTAAGACAAGACACCACCAGAAGTACTAGTCCTTCCTAATGTCCGCAGAAAAGCATGAAACTGCTATAAATGTATATAGAGGCATCAATGAAAGGAAATAGTTAGACAAGAAACTAGTAGAACGGATGCCAAGATTAAAATTTTTTGAAGGATGGAAAGGAAGGATTTGACTAAGGCTAAATAAAAATCTTAATCCTTATCTAGAGACTTGCTAACTCCCACCCTGTCTTGCAGATTTATTCTCCTCTGACAGCAAATTTTGCCTTGGAAATCATAATCACTACAAGCTGAACATATCCATGCATGACAGTGGCATCATTACTGAGCTTTGATTTACAAAAACAATATTGCTTGAAACCTCTGAACATTCAGCAAAATCGCCATTTGCGAAGATTCGAAGCCATACCACAAAATAATGCAATGGCAATGATGTAAAGACTATTTGAAAGAAAGTGCAATGGAATGAAGAAGAACGACTCTCTTTCCCTCATCCATCTTCCCCAAATAACGGATTGGAAGCAGGCGTCAATAACTCAGAAGCCCTTCATCTCAGCGTAGAATGGCGGTAGAAATAGGAATGGAGATTATATCTACGGTGACAGAGGAAGAAGACTCAGAATTTCGAAGCAACACTTGAAACCCCGCAAAAAATTCAATCGGAAGACCCCCTAAAGAGGAGTAAAATATCAGAGAAAACAACTGCAGAAGTGCACAAAATAAAACCCTAGAGCATGCTACATAACATTAAGTTCGATTCCAGAACCCATAATTACAAACGAACAATCTCAGAACCAAAATAAACCAAAGTAAATCCTAGCAAATGAGAACTACGGAGGGATTGATAAATAATACTAACCTTCACAGCAGTGATTGAAATTCAAACAAACGTAAAACGAAACGAGTTTCGGTAACTGCTCGAGGGTACCCTGTATCCAAGCAATGCGTCTCAGAGAATGCAAAACTATCGGACTGGGAGAAGGCAGCAGATGAACGGACGAATCGGGGGAGAGGTTGGGCAAAATGGGGATTGAATTTTCGTCTGATATCAAATGGGAATTGAGTTCTTGCTTATTGGTCCGCCATGCGAGAGACGACGAGAACGAAGAGGGAATTGGAAGAAGCGAATAGGAGAGATTGATACTGGAAATGTAACATGCGAAGAACGGCACTCTTCACAGGAGAAAATAATATCCTTTTTCCATTAAAATTAAACCACGCACCAAACCATTCCCTTCCAACTAAAAATTTATACACTAAAATTGCATAATTATTCTTAATTCAAAATTAATTTTAAAAATTAGCATCTTATTTTTTACTTTTTTCAATTGTGTTTATACAGTATCAATTATTTTTCGTAATCTACTTACAAAATCTCTGTAAATTCAAATCTTACCTAAATTTTGAAACCTATTTATCGCTTTTAAGTTTTAAATCTAGTTTGTTTGTTTTTTTTTTNAATCTGGTTAAGACTTCAAAGATTTTTTTCTAAAACAATGATAAAATTAGAATTTTTTTTTTTTGGAGTACAATGACAAATTTAGATAAAAGAATATTGACTAACAAATAAGAACAAAATTTTACCAAATTAAGCCGTAATAGTTAATTTTATGTAGAAGTGAATAACAATAACAATAAAACTTGGTAAACTTTTTATAAGTTGTAGTCTTAAATATTTTCTTACATAATATATTTTTTAAAAAAGATATTAATAATAAAATATTATTAGACTAAATTTAAATTTATCCATTTATGTATAAACATGTATGAGTTTAAATTAAATTAGTTTTTTTTATCAAATGAAATTAAATTTAAAAGACAAGCTTTCTGAACCTACTTCACTCCAACCTTTCAAAAAGCCCTTATTTTTATTTTTTTTAACAGAAAAAAAACCCCTTATTCCGTTGACTTTGTGCGTGAACAATAAACATTGACTTTAAATTTCATAGGGTAAATATTTATATACAAAATGCTCGTCTAATCTACTAATCCGTTAAAATTAATGTTATAAATAATTTTTTAATGTATATATAAAGTGTTGAGATTATACATTTAAATTTAATAAGTCAACCTGAATATAACTTGGTACCTATTTTCGATTAAAAGATCATGAGTTCCATACTCCCTATATGTTGTACTAAAAAAGTAATTTAATAAATTACTGTGTAAAATCACATTTTTTTTTCATATTTTAAAATTTAATGTAATGTTTTACTTGATTTAAAAATTTATATCAATTCTCTTCGTTAGGTACAAACTTCATAAATTACTGTGTTGTTTAGAATAGTACTTGGAATTATAGTATTTGAAATTTAAATATTATTTTTAAAATGATTAATTAGTGGTCAGCTTGGTTTTCAAAAACATTGATTTGGGGTCATTTTATTATTATTATTTTGTTAAACCATGTCCATTTTTGACAAAAAGAAAATTGAAAAATAATTAGTAAAGGCTATTAAATTTTATAAAATTAAAAATAGGAGAGTGCAGCAAAAATTTTTTATGTATTTCAAAATATATCTTCAAATATAGCACAAAATTTCACTTATATAAATAGTATATCAAATACTGTAATATATCAGACACTCATATCAGTAGTATATCAAATTTATATCTCACACATATTGTACAAGCACTCATATATAAGTAGTATATCAGATGTGTATCACATACATATTGCAAATATATCAGATACTCATATCAGTAGTATATCATATGTATATCACATACATATATCAGTAGTCATATATATGACCGATATATTACATATATATTACAATTGTATATAATTTTGGTAAAGTTGTCATTTTAAAATTCTACCCCCCTTTTCTTAAAATAAAAAAAATTGTTATATTTAAAAAAAATAAATGCAGTTGCATTTTACTCATTTTACTAAATATTTTTACTATAATTGCAACTGCTCTATTAGAAATGGTAGATTAAAAACAAATATTAATGTAGTCTTAAATTGTAGTCTAGGGATTATCAGAGCATTTTACAATGATTAAAGAACAACAAAATCTAATTTCAAACTATTTCTAGGTTTAGAGACAATTTAATATATATATAATTGCAACATTTTGATGAAATTTATTTGAAGTATATGGAGTAGAAGATGTTACCAGCAATTGAAGCAAGCAACACTTGAATTGTCACCGATATTTATGAATTTCTGTATTTTTTTCTTTTTAATTAGCAATTCCAAAATGGATAAACTGGCTGCATATTGGGATAAAAGAATCCAAAATTCTGTTCAACTCCAGCCAACTTAAGATCTTCGTTGAACATTTCAAACAAGATCCCATTATACTTCACCTTTGGCCTCTTTGGAGTTCCTGCACCACTCGCTACATGGTTCATGAAATTTTTGTTATACGTCACTGCATTATCAATACTAGTAAATGGTTGGTTTCCTTTTGTGGGCCACCCAGTCTCCGAAATCTCCAGTCTCACATCAACAGCGCCAATCTTCTCCAGCGCCGCATAGAAAGAATCCACCATGGCATCAAATAGATTGTAGTAGTTCAAATTTCCATCCACCACTACCGGCGTCGTGGAAGTGAACAGGGCGTAATTTAGTGGGATTTGTTGTGGGTTCGACGCGTACGCGAAATATGGGTATACATTCAACAATAATGGTGCACCGCTAGAGCCCACCACCTTTGCGATTTCGCTCAAAGGTCCTGCAGCAGCATCGGTGAATGCTCCAGTCGATGGGGGATACGAAACTCCAATGACACTCATGTGGACCACCGTTGTTACCTGTGCAAAGAAATTGATAATTTATGGATAAATATAAAAGACTATATATATATAACAAGTTTATATGGTTTTAAGATTAAATTACGAATTTGTGGATATGAATTTCGCTTAATTTCAATTTAATCCACACCAACAAAATTTTAAAAGTTTTAATTTGATAATTATTTTTAGGTTAAACCTCCAAAAGTTATCGAAAAACTATTTGCCTTACTCGGTAAAATACCCACCCATTTACTGTTCCTTACTTCTTTTAGCTAATACTATGTTAACAAATATGGTTATCTATAAATAGAAAACAATAATTCATTGCAAAAATAGTAATAATAATAATAAACATGTCATACACATGTTCATATATGGTAATAATAATAACACTTTATACTATTTTTGAAACTTTTAAAATTAAAGGGATTAGATTAAACCCAAACCATAAAAATAAAATTGAAATTTAACTTTTAAAACTATGAAAACTAGATTGAACCATGACTAAATTATAGTGACGAAATTGAAAATTTTGAAACCATATTAGACTAAATTGAAAATTCAAATTGTAGAGATCAAAATTGAAACTTTTTAAAATTACAATGATTCGTTTGAAAAATATTTGCTTAAACATTGATCACGAGCTCTTATTAATTTTCTAAAGTGACATATTCTTAATTACTCAAACAATTTTTAGTCGGATCTACTTATGTATTAAATGTCGCATAAGTAAACTAATGAAATTAAAATAATAATATGGATCAAATTCGTAATTTAACTTGATTTCAAATATTACCTTTATGTCTCGTTTGACGCCGGTGACAACGAGCGCCTGCATAATGTTTCTGATGGCATTAGCAACGAAGGGTGCCGCTGCGTCCCCGGGAATGACTTCATTACCGACGGTGATGTAAGCAATATTGACGTCGGCATAATAAGGAACCACGTGAGAGTTAACCCAAGCATTGGCAGCCAATTGGTCCGCAGCGAAGCTCTGTATGTCTTCATTTCTGGTTCCGAGCCACAAGACATTTGGTTTGCCGCGCAACGCATCCAAAACGTAGTGGTTTGGCTCAAATATCCGCACGATATCTATGCCGCATCGTCCGTACAGGTTTATCACATCGTTTGCTTGCGGGAGATTATTGCCGTTGAGCCCGTAGTTCACTCCAATGCCGCCCAAGCCACCTGCCAACACAAATTCAACGCAACTTTTTTCTTCACGGTTTGTTTGTTCATTAATGTACTAAAAGAGATTTTGAGAGGAAGCTTACAGATGAGAGGAAGTTGATGGGAGAGAAGAAGGGCGGTCGCCATTAAAACGAGTGATGAAGCCCACAAGAAGTCCATGGCAGTTCTGTTTTTGGATGATGAATGGGGAGTAATTTTATAAGCAATTTGGGGTGGAGATGAGCAAAATCTGTATTGGGTTTGAAATTCCAATTATGGGAAATTAATGAAGGATATTATATATGTTCTATGAATGGGGAAGGATACATTCCATATTGTTTTTCATTAACTGATGAGTGTGATGTGCCAAATAGGGTTGGGTTGGGGTAAAAATTAATAATATCATGCATGTATGTCGGCCATGTGTTGAGCTCGAGCATGGATTCAGATTATGGAAATATAAACTAATTGTCAGTTTAACAAAGGATTAATCTCTTTCCTTCTTCTTCATTCTTCGTTGAATTTGTGTCTTTGTAATCAACGAATGCCGGACACAGTTTTGGGATGGTTTTGTCTTTTATTTCCTGTTTTATTCTGTAGAGAGCCGATTGTATTCATATGGGAATGATACTAAAAAGGAAAAAAGAAAAAGGGAAAAAAAAAAGAGGTTAAATATTCCAAATCAATCATGATCTTAATCTTGTTGGTAATTTTACATTTTATTCTTAATCTTTTAAAATACTTGGTCCTACCTTCCATGTATTGAAAACAATCAATTGCATCATTATGGAACAATTTCGTTCAAATTTGTAGGTCTAATTTTAACATATTATGATACCCACCTGTAAAAAATAGATTTTGTTGATGATGGATTAGTCAAGGATGTACATATTGGATTTCTTGTGTAAAATATCATGTGAGTTCCATGTATACTAGAAGGTTGTGAGTTCGAACCCCACTTCGACACGTTGTACTAAAAAAACAATAATTGGGACGTTTTATTCCATCTGAATTGGGTCAAGCCAATACTATAGCAAGAATGAGGTCAAGTAGGAAACATTCCTAGATTTCTTTATAGAGAGGAGCAAAAACAAAAAAATAGAAAGATCTCGAGTTCAGGATTCTCGATTTTTTCTCTCTTTTCTTTTAGAACATATATGCAAATCATGCTTTACAAAATAAATGAAGTTAATGGGCGTGAAAAATAATACAGAAGATTCTTCCTCCACTACATTTCATCAGAATATACAAACAACTCCTTTGTGATGCCATGTTGCAGTTGCAGTTGCAGGGTCCTCCCTCACTTTTCAGATAACACTTCCATTTCGTATTATCATACGCTGATCTCGCCAAGGACTCCCATCCCATGAACTGGATTTTCTGCACACTAAAACAAGAAGGGTGAAAAGATAGTGTTCTGTTTTTGACTGATTATTCTCTTTTATTCTCTTCCCTGTCATCGTCCTCATCGAACTCGACCGTGTTTCCGCTATCCTTCTCATTCCACTCCTGCTGCTTCACGTAAGTAAGTTCGCTCTCTGGCTTTACCCGGTTTAGGGACTGAGCTTCTTCATCATCAGATTGAGCTCCAAGTTCATCAGAGTAAGCATACCTTTGTTCATAATTTTGTCAAAATTAGGATAGAGCTGATTGTGAAGGGGAAAAAAGTTGTAAAAGATTGGAAAATGTAGAACATACCGTTGGGAGCTTTGTGACGGTGCCCAGAGATAGCAGATAACGCATAGTAAAGAAAATGCAAGAATGTTCCAAAAAGCAGTTATGATCCAAGCACTCTGCCATCTTTCGTTGAAAGGATCTGTCACCTTGAAGTAGACCTATATGCAAAAGCTTATCATGAGAGCCCGATCTACAAGACAGCGCTATAGAAAAACCAATTGAACGCTCTAACCAAAAGAGTTTAAATATTGAGGAGATGTAAACAAACAGAGAAAGATAAAAATGAAGAGAAATTCTTCCAATCTACTTCAGATATCAATAATCAATGAGAATAATTCTCTACTTCCTATAAATATTCACTTCCCACAAAAGAACTCCAAGACGTTCTAGATAATGCACACCTATGATAAAAAGAAGACATGGTTGACAAATCCCTAAAACAATACGCTTGGAGTAGATTTCATGAGGAAATTTGAACTCTAATAGTACCCCCGGAGAAAAATTTTCCATAATTTTACACTCACACCATGCATCAATCAGAAAATGTGTGCACACAATTCAATCAGGAATTCTTAACTGATTTCGGTATCCTGTTTTTTAAATCTTATTTTCCATATGGTAAAGAATTCGTTTGGCACTAAAAGTGCTGACTGCTGTGCTCTATATATACACCTATATATATAAAGGGATAAAATGTGTATAGAGGTTGAAGCCATACCTCATACACTATCCAAGCAACAGAAGCAATAACAGTTGCTACCAATGCATTTGAGAACTTCCTATATATTTCCAACTTAACAGAGTTCCTCTTCGTCTGGAAAAAAACACGTTTGTTACACAAGATGACTATCCAGATAAAGAGGCAAATGCAAATAGAAAATGATTAATGAAAGGATACATGCTGTTGGACTTGGTGGATTTCAGGAGCAGGAAAGCAATACCTGTAATTGCTCTAGCGTCCTTGAAAGGGAAGTAAAGATCCATAATATTAAAAATGCATCAAGGAATGCATCGGGGAGGACTAAGAACAGTCTTGCTCTTCCAGAAACATCACTTATAGTCCCAACGTACTCCGTAATATCCAATAACTCAGATGCCAAAAAGTAAGTTACCCCTAGAAGAAGAACCTTTGAGGTAAGACCACCAAGAGTGGGTCGCACAACACCATAACCCATGGAAATAGACAGTATAAGAAGCCGCGTTACTGTTTTCCGCACAGCACCAACAGTCACCACCCATGTTGTGACTACAACTGGCCTAATTCCTGTATCATTAAAGTTTACATACTCAAAGTACCAAAGGACCATCTCAAATAATCCGAGCGCAATAACGACTGTGATGCAATGCTGAAGTTGCAGAATATCCCTCCAGAACCTCACATACTGAGATAACCAAATGACACTAAGCAATAGATATGCAAGGGACATGAAGACATAAAAATTCATTAAAGAGAACATCCGTCCGGGTAAATAACCATAGGGATTTTTCCACTTTGTTCTCCCACTCATCACTAATCCTTTGAGGTTTGGATCGCATGTTACAAAGAACAAGTTATACATTCCAGTTTTTGTAATCGTGACTTCCTTATCTTCCATACGAGTGTACAAATAGTTACCACTGAATTGCACATTTAAAACAACAGGCCAGTTAATGTCCGATGCAGAAGGCCTTTTAATGACTTCCCCTTGCTTACATCCTTCAAGCTTAGCAAGATCCGGAGTGCAACATATAGCTCTCTGTCCACCGTAAGCAGAACCACCAATGTTATCGCGATCAGCAGCCTCGAAGATTATAACTTGTACCAACCCAGTGCTATGCTCCATGTCTGAATGTTGGTCAGCAGCAGCCTTGCTCCTCCAAAAGGTGAGATTATAAAATCTGTCCCATTTTTAAAAGTCATGAAAATGGACACATAAATAGTGAGAGAAAAAAATACAAAGGAAGAAAAAATAATTTAAAAAAAAACCACATGCAGAGTATAAAAAACATTTAGTAAGCGAGAGCAGGCGTAAATTTTTCAAAAACCACTTTTTGTGAATAGTCAAGTCCTTCAGAGCATTCTTCAAGGATGCATAAAGATAGGTCAATATCTTTAGAAGCAAAAACTGAACTACTAGCCCAGTTCTTCAAAATGAAATGTTTTTCATCAACTAGTGAAACTAAGTGTGATTCTTAAGCAAGATGAAATTCTTCAAAGGAATGATATTTTTCTTCATATTTATGCTCATCTTAATGACCCATAACCGTGCCTCCAGTTACACCCTAGAAGACATATTTAGACGTAGAATGTGTTAGAGCACACCATGGTGGCAAGATATTTCCAACACCTAAATTAAAGCCATAAATTTGTAATCCGGACAGCACTAAATTGAGTGCGTGCCACATCACTGGAACTGCAGTGCAACTCTTGGTCACTTTTTAAGCAATACAGAAAATATAGTCTTTTACATATTCCAAACCCGAAATGGAAAGCAAATCAACCTGTCGAATGGAAGGAAATCCCAAGGTTGTGATTCATGTGAAACATCGATTCAATTCATTTAAGATTGATGACAGAAAACTAGGCTTTTTAATTTTCTGTATAATTCATTAACTAAAAAAACAGAGATCACTCCGTTCATGCTCTCTTCAAATAAAATAATAATTTTAGACGTCCATTGAAATAACAAGTCAATCAATCAACCAAACTAAGATTAGTACTTTAATCACTAATTAGAAGTAGAACGGCAGCGTGCAGTAACACAAAAACATATGCTATGTGTGAACGTCAGATCTGTCTGCATTGCTAGAGTTAGCAGACCCCAATATAACAAAACGAACACAGATCTAGCTCAAATATAACCAAATTTAAACACAACTACAGTTGAACTACAACGATGTCATCAACAAAACCTACCCGCACTGACTCGCAAAAGAAACATAATCGATCAAAATTTAGACATCCAAAGAGTTAGAAAGAGTACTGGATGAAAGATTGGCCATTGCGTAAAGAAGGCGCGTCGGAATTAGCAGGGAGAGAAGCTGCGAGACCTTCACTGCCGCCGGAGAGAAGGTAAGCATTACCGACATCAATGAAAGTTTCTTTGTCGTAGAAATGGATGGAGGCATTGGTCAGATTCAGTGTGAGTGACAGTAAGAGTACGGACCAAGCATACAAAATGAATGAAGGATTTGAAA